TAGAATCTTTCAAAACGTATTCTTGCCTAGTGTCTGATAACAGCCTATATTGTTACCAATAAAAAACATTATCTGTATGTAATAACCAGCCTCTCAAGTTACCAATAGAAAACATTATCTTTATGTAATAACCAACGTCTTAAGTTACCAATAGAAAACATTATCTTTATGTAATAACCAACGTCTTAAATTACCAATAGAAAACATTATCTTTATGTAATAACCAACGTCTTAAGTTATCAATAGAAAACATTATCTTTATGTAATAACCAACGTCTTAAGTTACAAATAGAAAACATTATCTGTATGTAATAACCAGCCTCTCAAGTTACAAATAGAAAACATTATCTTTATGTAATAACCAACGTCTTAAGTTACCAATAGAAAACATTATCTATATGTAATAAACAGCCTCTCAAGTTATCAATAGAAAACATTATCTGGTATGTAATAACCAATGTCTTAAGTTACCAATAGAAAACATTATCTGGTATGTAATAACCAATGTCTCAAGTTATAAATAGAGAACATTATCTGGTATATAATAACCAGCCTCTCTAGTTACCAATAGAAAACATTATCTGGTATGTAATAACAAGCCTCTCAAGTTACCAATAGAAAACATTATCTGGTATGTAATAACCAATGTCTCAAGTTATCAATAGAAAACATTATCTGGTATGTAATAGCCAGCCTCTCAAGTTACCAATAGAAAACATTATCTGGTATGTAATAACCAATGTCTCGAGTTATCAATAGAAACCATTATTTGGTATGTAATAACCAATGTCTCAAGTTATCAATAGAAAACATTATCTATATGTTATAACCAGCCTCTCTAGTTACCAATAGAAAACATTAGCTGGTATGTAATAACCAATGTCTCAAGTTACCAATAGAAAACATTATCTGGTATGTAATAACCAATGTCTCAAGTTATCAATAGAAAACATTATCTGGTATGTAATAACCAATGTTTCGAGTTATCAATAGAAACCATTATCTGGTATGTAATAACCAGCCTCTCAAGTTACTAATAGAAAACATTAGCTGGTAAGTAATAACCAATGTCTCAAGTTATCAATAGAAAACATTATCTATATGTTATAACCAGCGAGCTAATGTTTTCTATTGGTAACTTGAGAGGGATGTAATAACCAGCCTCTCAAGTTACCAATAGAAAACATTAGCTGGTAAGTAATAACCAATGTCTCAAGTTACCAATAGAAAACATTATTTGGTATGTAATAACCAGCCTTTCAAGTTATCAATAGAAAACATTATTTGGTAAGTAATAACCAATGTCTCAAGTTACCAATAGAAAACATTAGCTGGTAAGTAATAACCAATGTCTCAAGTTACCAATAGAAAACATTATTTGGTATGTAATAACCAGCCTCTCAAGTTACCAATAGAAAACATTAGCTGGTAAGTAATAACCAATGTCTCAAGTTACCAATAGAAAACATTATCTGGTATGTAATAACCAATGTCTCAAGTTATCAATAGAAAACATTATCTATATGTTATAACCAGCCTCTCAAGTTACCAATAGAAAACATTAGCTGGTATGTAATAACCAGCCTCTCAAGTTACCAATAGAAAACATTATCTGGTATGTAATAACCAATGTTTCGAGTTATCAATAGAAACCATTATTTGGTATGTAATAACCAACCTGTTTCAGAAATGGTTTTTAGATTCAGCTGAGAGTTTTAAGAACGTTTTTAGGTTTGGTATTGATTTCAGTTGAGACCTTTAAGAACTGCTTTTACGTAGGTTTTGTGTTGGTTCATATATTCTTAAGCGTAGAAAGTCTTTAATGCTACATCTAAACTGTTTCATAGATATGTGTTCTGTGAAAGTGATTTCACAAAATCGAGATAAAAGCAGATTCAGACTTTTACTTTAGGGTGGGAAAAATTATTTATTTAAAATGAATTCATGGTCTTTCTTCACCAATAAACAGACAACATAATATGTCTAAAGAAATAATACGACTTTGAGATCTATCTCACGACTTTTTTACGTGTAAAGAAAACCAGTTAGCACGTGTTCTTTTGGTGTTTAAGTTCTTAAAGTTTGTGTTATTAAGGGATATAATTTGATTATATTTATAAACTTATTATTTTCTTTCTGACTATTAGAGAAAGGCTTCATTCATCTGAGCTCGGAACCAAATCGTCTTATGGAATCACAAACATGTTTCTTGGTATTCTGTCGTAATTATCATACATTTCCTGACTAAATATTTTATCCCATTTTGTTTTCAACTGCCCTTCATGTATTAAGACTAAATTCGCTATCTCGGTATGTTTGTGTGTGTTGAGAAACATTAACTTAATATTTACTTTTAGTACAAACAGAACAGTTAATAAAACAGCTTTCGTTCTGATAAATTACACCGTTAAAGTAACATTACCGCAAAGGTGGCGAAACAAGTCAGTAATGAATGTTACCGTCTAGTCAAAATTGCTTGAATATGGTTCCATGTTGAATTAAGAATGTTAAATGATAGGACAAGTTTTGTTCTGGAGTACCATTGTGGTGTTTGAAAACTACCATAAGATATTGTTTTTCGCAAATATTACAAGTCAATTTAGAAGTTGTATAGTCTAAGGTTCTGTTTTAAGTACAAGACACACGTGCTGTAGATTAGAGATCTTTTTGGCTATCAAATCACTGAAGATTTTCTGATGGTTACTTGAGAAATATTTTCATTTTTGTATCACAGGAATGAATGAAATTAGTTATTCATTTATCTCACTCCTGTTTTATGCGTATAAATATTTAGATCTCCTCATACAAACAGTTTCGTTCAGCTAATTACACAACAATGAGAGAGGAGGAAACTCAGTGTTCCAGTCAATTAAGCACTAACTGGATAAGCGAAAAGGAAATGAATATCACAGGTTCTGGTAGAGTATGTTTAAACTTCCTCCTGGACAGGATGTACATTGGGCGATGAGCTTCCGGACGTTATAGTGTACCGCATATCTTGTGGAATGTTGTTCCGTTCTTTTCAAAAGAAGGATACATAGGATAAATAAGATCACCAGGATTGTTACCATTCTACCCAGCCTGGCACTTATCCAGTCTTTTCAAGCTTAGGCGTTGTATTACATTTTCTTTGGTGATATTGTTTTAGTTCACAGTAGTATAATTTGCAATTTAAAAACGAGTTATTCACTAATTTTCATCTTCATTACTACCTTGAGATTATCATTCAAAAACTGGATGAAAAAACAATGGTATTGCCCTCCAGTGGCTCAACCATAAGGCTTATAATGCTGAAAAAGAGAGTTTCGATACCCGCCGTGGGAAGAGCACAGATAACGCCTGTGCAGTTGTGTGCTTAACAATTAATTAACAAAGTTGTTGATAGAGAACTTTCCATCTGTTATTTCAACAGCTGCTGACTATACTGAAACTACATTCACTACTTGTCACTTACTTGATATTCGTTACTTGTAATTTACTTGAAATTCACTACTTGTAATTTACTTGAAATCAGTACTTGTAATTTACTTGAAATTCGTTACTTGTAATTTACTTGAAATTCGTTAATTGTAATTTACTTGAAATTCACTACTTGTAATTTACTTGAAATTCACTGCCTGTAATTTACTTTATATTCACTGCCTGAAATTTACTTGATATTCATTACTTGTAATTTACTTGAAATTCACTGCTTGTAATTTACTTTATATTCACTGCCTGAAATTTACTTGATATTCACTGCCTGAAATTTACTTGATATTCGTTACTTGTAATTTACTTGAAATTCACTACTTGTAATTTACTTGAAATTCACTGCTTGTAATTTACTTTATATTCACTACCTGAAATTTACTTGATATTCCATATGCTTTGTTAAGGGTGTTTTTGAAATAACATATAATTTTTAAAGTGAGAATGATGAATGTACAAAGTTAATATAATAGATATGTTAACCCTTAAATTACTGACTTGTTTCCATACTTTTCACTATCCGAAGGGTACATTTAGTGTATCACACTGAGTAATTTTGTATTTATATCTGTTATGACTACTAACAAAACAAACTGTGGGAGATTTCTTGTATTCCGTGTGGAATACATAGGGAATAATTAGAAGAGCTTGCCGCCATATTGGTGGTATTTTTGTTTAAGTAATTTTTGTGTGTGTGTGTCTTATATATCATTATTAAGGACTATGTAACCAACAATGTCATGGATCTACAAGAAAATTGATGCATACATTATTATGAAAAATATGTTTAAAAAGCCATAGGATAAATCCAAAGTTAAACTATTTTAGGGATTGCGAACACTATTTTCCCCAAATAAATTGTTTTTGGAAAATAGTAATACAAATTGTATTGTATTGTATTTAATAAGACACATTATTTCCTACCGAAGAAGCTACAAACTGCTTGCCTGCTTTTAAACTCGCAATATTAAAATGTTTTTGGAACGACGTTTTTATGAGACACTAACTCTCGTTTTATCTGACTACCAACCAAACATTTTTAAAATACGAATTACGTTAAGAAAACTACGATCAGACCTTTTTGTTTCCTAATGATGATGTAACAAACATAATTACCAATAAGAAGGTCATTAATGTGACAATTTAATCGAAACTGAACGCACAGCATGTATTGAATCTTAGGCTAATAAAGTATTGTTTACAGATTTTAATCATGAATGAAGTGTTACAAAACATAATAGTTGTTGTTGACATGTGAAATTTTTACTAACTAATAACTAAAAAAAAAACACTATTTTAATTGAAATTCTTAAAGTTACAATAACGAAAAAATATATAAATGCATGGAATTCTAATCATGCTCTATCTTTTGGAGTACGTCATTAAATCATCATAATTTTCTTAGCTATCTGTTTATGGCTTTCGATATCTCAGCAGTTGCTAGGTTTTTCTGCCAGGTGGGGTTGGTGATTGGACAGATAACGGTACGTCACCAAAGCAGGGGTTATTTTAGAACGTGTCAACTCACGCACGGAAGGGAGGGTTTTAGAGACTGCAGCACTACAGGCCGAACGCGAGAGTTGAGAGGCTACGGCTGACCTTAGAAGTAACGGCTTCTTATTATAAAGATGAAGAGTGGTAAGGTGGGTTACAGTGTCTGCAGCGTGACAACCAGCACAAGTAGCAGCATGGGCCGCAGCGGTTACTGGCTTGAGGTTTCTACGCATGTCGTGCCGGTAAAGAAGACCAGGGATGCCAGCGGAAAGCTTGGGTGGAATAATCGGAGCAAAAGCAGCGTTCCTTTACAGGAAAAGCTCCGAAAACTTTCCAAGAAAATCGGTACTGCATATTCATGTTTTCGGATAAGAAAGTCTTGGAAAAATATCTTTAACTTATATGATCCAGTACTTTATGTAATGGTAGGGATGGTAGCTGTTATGTGCTACCTGAACTCTCTAAGTGGAGACTTTGTACATGATGACATTGTAGCTATTACGACAAATCCGGATGTGCTAGGACATACGTCGATGGCTCAACTGTTTTTTAATGACTTCTGGGGGAAATCCATGGCTGACCCATTAAGTCACAAGTCATATAGACCACTGACAGTTCTCACGTTCAGGTAAGAAGCATTCGCCAGAATAAACTTAACATTTTAATGCCTTAGGCTTTTTGTTTCTTTTGTTATTAAGCACAAAGCTACGCAATGCTACTGAGGAGGCATGTTTTGTGCAAACACTACATTTGTGAATGGAAAAATCTGACTAAACATTTAGAAATCGTAATACATCAAAATAAGTGATGTATATTAAACGATTGTTAATAAGTGCTATACGAACAATCTTAGTTTTAATTTTTGTTTTAAAAAATAAGCTGCATTGCTTCAAATTTATTGCGAATATTACAGCATTATATGAAATACTCCATTTCTGTTATTGTTTAGACAGAAATTCAAATGTTAACTTTACATAGATTTTGGTAGAAATTAAAGTATTTTATATGAACATTGAGATTACGGTTATATATAAAAATCTTTAAAGCGAGACAAATGCAACTTGATGCGATAAGTACAAAAGTGACGTAACTTTAAGTTATTTGAAGTTTCTATTACATTATCACTGTAAGCATATGTTCTGAGAGAATAAGCACCTTTGTTATACAGGAAAAACAACTTTAAGCAGAGAACTTTTGTTACGTAACACCACACCCAAACACAACGATTAATCTTTATGATCACGTAAAATGACGCGAAAAACAAAAACACTGGAAATAGTTATAACATACTTGTATGAGAAACGTAAGTATAATTTAAAGTTTGACATTTTTGTTGGACACTGTATGGTAATGTACAATGAAAAGACGTAAAGTAGATCGATAACAAAGCAATAATTATTACATAAATAAACAAAACTCGGATATATGAAAATGAGTGAATTAGACATTAGGAACGGGTGATGTACGTGATGTTTTTAAAAGAGACTAAATTAACTTCATATTTAAAGAGTGAGATCTTGTAAAATTGAATGAACTTTGTATTAAGTTGATGGAATTCTCTAAGTATTGAATAACCTGGTATCAAGTTCACGGGATTATGTAACAGATTAAATCTACTCTATAGTGTATTCAAGGGATAATGTAATGGATTAAATCTACTCTTTAGTAAGTTCAGAAGATAATGTAACAGATTAAATCTACTCTATAGCATGTTTAAGGGATTATGTAACAGATTAAATCTATTCTTTAGTAAGTTCACATGATACTGTAACAGATTAAGTATAATCTTTAGTAAGTTCATGGGATAATGTAACATATTAAATCTACTCTTTAGTAAGTTCACGGGATAATATAACAGATTAAGTATACTCTTTAGTAAGTTCATGGGATAATGTAACAGATTAAATCTACTCTTTAGTAAGTTCACGGGATAATGTAACATATTAAATCTACTCTTTAGTAAGTTCATGGGATAATGTAACAGATTAAATCTACTCTTCAGTAAGTTCACGGGATAATGTAACAGACTAAATATACTCTTTAGCATGTTCACGGGAAAATGTAACAGATTAAATTTATTCTGTAGCAAGTTCACGGGATTATGTAACAGTTTAAATCTACTCTATATTATATTAAAGTGATTCTGTAACAGATTGAATCTACTCTGTAATATATTGAAAGGATAATGTAGCAGATTACACCTACTCTATAGAAAATTCATGGGATTCTGTAACAGATTAAACATACTCTGTAGTAAGTTTGTGGAATACTACATTTTTATAACTTATTTGTAAGCTTTGTTTCAGAGAAGATAAACATTTGTATTTAGTGTATGTTTTTATGTAACAGCATGTTTCATAATAAATAGGAAAATAATTGTATGAAAAATTTTGAATCTATAAGAAAATAGCTACAATTAGAGTATCTTGTTCTTCTTTGATAGTGCTCTGTTGTTGTATATTTCCTAATAAAGCTTCACAGTGGAATTTCCGTGCTGTTTTCGGAATGTTTCAGATGAATTGAACCTGTAGAAGAAAGTTAACGGCCCCTTATATGGCTCATTTTGATAAAAAATAACGAACTATTACAGTCAGCATTGTTTGTTGGTTTTACCGTTAAACGTCTAAGTATTAAAGTAAAAACACAGTTACATGCGGTTGACTTAACGTATTATGTTGTATATTATTTCTATCTTTTATGGTTCAAGTAACGATTGAACTGCTACAAATGCACCTAATATGCCGAGAAAATAAGACTGTTTTGTTAGTGTGTCATTTATATAGGTAATACAACAATAGGAAATAACATTTAATATTACCCCTTTCCATAAGACTCATATTACCCATTTCTAACGGTTAATATTTCTATTCAAATTTCGTTCAACAATGTTTTCGAAAACAGTTGCTTCTGTTTTATCCTATATTTTAATTATATGTTTGACTGGATTAACGATGAATTTATTGATAGTATTTTTTTTTTTATCCACAAGCTTGTAACACCGTATCTACCTGTTTAGGATGAAAAATTACATAAAACACCAATATCGGACCTCTAATATTTTCAAACTCATATTTAGCATAATATAGCTTTTCAGACAAAAATGTCAAATAGCGACAGTTCCCGCTTTTGACGAAGCCTTTTACACATTCTTAGCACTCTTCAAATCGAATGGTCATATGCATCAGAGGTAAAACGCAAATCCAAGAAGTCAAGCGTGACTTAATGATTAGCGTGCAGGGCTGCGGATCTCATGGTCTAAAATTCAAGCCGAGATATGCTGTTTAACTCGTTCAACATTCAATGATGTTTGTCAATCCTACTATTCGGTTAAAACTAACCGCAAAGACAGTGGGTGCTGCTGACTGGTAAACCTCATTCAAATCAACAGTTATAAATTAGGGATGGCTATTCATGAACCTTAGGAGCACCTGACCTTTTCGTCTAGCTTATTTTCGCATAGTGCCGTCCTGGTTGAAAACATTAAATAGCAAGCGCTAAAAATATATCATTTTTGTCTTGTGAACAGTAAGAAGGCTAGATTTAATTAATTATTACCAAATGTAGTTTTAAGCACCACTCTCTTAGGTTATTTTCGAGCTAACAAAACTCCTGATACGCAAACACATAAAACTATAACACTGCTTTTACACGTGATCAGAAGTTCTATAGAACAACTAATTGTTCAATGGTTGAGGTTATGTGACTGTACATTTTAGCGTAAGCTTTGTGCACTTGACATGTTCACACAAACGATCTAAATGTCATACAAATAAGTAATTGTACAAAGAACTCTCCTACAGCCACACTAACAAGCAGATGAACAAACCATCTTGCTGCGGTTGTTCTGTAGGTTGATTTATGCAGACACTACAGAATCCCTATTAATGTTAATAGCTATATAAACTTATGGATTTAATGTTACACGTGTCTCGTAGCATGAGAGAATGGGTTTAGATTTTCCCTAATATCTAAGCGTCACTTAATGTATAAGCAGGCTCAGTTTCTCGCAACCAGCGGAAAATAAAATTAATTTCAACTCTATAGTGTTTGGAAAAGATTATTGAGAGTTTCATCCTGACAGATAAATATTACCAGCCAATCTTAAAACTTGGTGACATGGAAAAATATAGAATCTGTGGAAGGCTGATGAATAAAATTAAATAATCTACACTATAGAACAGCTTTTGTCTGCATGCCAGTTTGTTTGCCCATAACGAAAGTTCTCCAATTTCCCAACATCTCGTCATCATGAAAGTTACAGGAGTACTTGGGTATACTCCAGAGGGATTCTAAAACACCTTGCCTTATCAATTTCCTCATTTTTTATAAATTCGATAACTATTTCAACTCCCTCTATACACAAATCTTGGTGTTGCCTAATGCGGTGACTGATGCGCATTTACGCCGTCCCGACATTTACGTTAAGCCAGAGAAGTAGATGCCGAGCCTGGATTCTTTGGTAGCATGATGGCCTGAATGATTCTTGATGAAAAGCTGTACAATTCCACTATATCCATTATTACATCCTAATATTTTATTTACCAATATCCAAACCTGTCTATATTTTATTATTAATAAGAATTAGTTGCAAATGTGTAAATTAAGTTTAATTTTATACTGTTTGTTTGTTTTTGTTTTTTGAAATTCGCGCAAAGCTACACGAGGGCTATCTACGCTAGCCGTCCC